AATGAGCCTAACCACCCCCTACAGCCCTCTCGTTCCTCTACCATGAAAGCTCTCCCTCATATTCAAAGCGCAACATTTTGTTAAACAAATAATGCTTTTGGACTAACTTAGCTGGGCAAGCTTGTGGTGATTTAAAACAACAATCTCTGAGATGGCGTTCCTAAAGCTCGCTAAAAGCGTAAACGACCTCCTAGGAGTATTTCCTCTGACCGAATGCGGTATTGGTTAGTTGGCATTTTTATATTATTTTCAAAGGCAAATTTACACACGGTAGCAGCCTTGAAAACAAAAACAAAGAGCATATATATTTTGTTTTTGTAATCGTAGTTTCGAAAAGTCAAAAATGAAAATCGTTCAATGTATTTTGTTGACTTAATAAAAAGTTCGGAATGTAAAAACCTATTTCTCATGTATTTTGTTTGTGTAATTTGTTGAAATTGAAGGAAGAACAAGCAATCTTGAGATGTGACAATCTTCACCTTCTATAAATTCGCCTTGATTATTTTCGTTTTCTAAGTGCTTCAGCATGTGAATGCTTTTCTCGCCGAAAACCAAATGAGATTTGTAAGAATCTTGGACAATTTTTAAGGATCTCTTCGTATACAAACATTTTCGAGGTTCGTAGATCCTAGACAGGTTATTCGGAGTTATTGAACTTGTTTTAACAAAAGTGAACGCCTAGTTGGAAATTGCATATTCTCAGCCCTCAATTCAACTTGAAGTTGTACACTTGTGATAGATTCTTTCCAAGTTCACTTGCTCTGTGGCCATATTTCAGTCAAATACTCTTCCTTCTGTGGCGACCTTTGGCCGTAGGGGATTTTTAATATTGCATTTTTAATATTCTCGAGGACCATTAAGTTTAAAAATTTGTCTATACCACTTGTTTTTTCTTGTACAAATATTTGATTAGACGTTTCTTCTTCTTTTAACTCATATCATCATTCAAAATAAGCACTTTTCAGAGTTGTATTTGTGAACTTATAGCGATTTCATTGAAATCACACTTGAGGTTTTTGATAAATTTTAGCACATCAAAGTTAGGGAAATTTTCGGAAATTTCAGTTAGGCTGCAACAACCCAACTCACTCTCCAGCCGTCCATAACTGACGACGTTAGTAGTGAAATACATACACGAGCTATCGACGCCGCTGAGAGCGGCGAAATGTTGCCAGCTGCCTGTGTGTTTGCACACTTTTGAACAAATTCATAATTTTCGTCAACGAATTTCATAATTTATTTGCTTTAACATAAACACAAGGCAAATATACATAATCTATATGGTAACAAATAATTAGTTACGCATTTATTTTTCATTTCTTTTGAACAAAACTACGCATTATTTTCGATTATTTAATGTTACTTTAAGAAAGGCTATACTGGCAACCTTGTATAGCAACGAAAAATGAGCCGAGCCGGTTTTACGGAAAAATCAAAACTACGTTGGTTTCTGCGACACAAACGTCAGCAGCGCTATGGGAAATCGGTGACAACTTTGTGTTTACATGGCGCTCTCATAAGATAGGTTACTATGGACGGCTGGTACGCTCGTTGGGTAGTTGCAGCCTTAAAATTCGGTATGGTGTCGAACTAGCGCAATTCGCTGTGTTTCCACTCAGAAAAAAATAAAATAATTTAAAGCCATTGCGGTTCTAGATTCCATGCACTCAGTTGGGCTGCGATTATAGAAAACTCGTTTAACAAATAATTTTCAATTCAACTGCATGCAATTTATAAAAGTTTCAATAACTATTTTCTATTTCAAATATATGTATGTCTATTTAAATATTTATATTTCTTTTTAAATCAAATTCATATGTTATATATATGTATATATTTGTTTTTAATAATTAACATTACATATTTGCGGAATAATTAATTCTGGAAAACTCTTACTTGAACAGCATAGTTCTGAAAAAGCGACTTAATTGCTGGGTTTGAAAACTCCTGCTTTGCTATTTTATATTAATTTTTTTTTAATTTGCTACTAACCAATTTAAACAGAGAACGATTTTATATTTTATTTAAGTATTTATTGGTAAAAATATATTACCTTTAACGCATTTATGCAAATATTTTAGCTAAAAATATTAAATATTCTGTTTTAAATTATTACTGCTTTTTTTCTTTTATTGCAGCAAAGCAAACGATATAATGCACTTCTATTAATGTATTTTTATTTTACAAAAATTTCTCATTTTTAATTACTTTAAATTAAAGAATTAATTCAACGCTAACTGCTGGAGTTGTTAAGCTTTTGCTACAACTTTAACTAAATTTCATGCAATTTTTTTTTGTAATTTTTAACAATTTAATATACGATTTATATTTTTTAACTAATTTTTATTCTTTCAGTTTAAGTTAAAAAAAATAGCTTAAATTAAATGCAAAAACTAAGTAATGTGAAAAGAAAATTAATTAAATAAATGAAAATAAAAGAACCGATAAAATTAAATTAAATTAAAAACTAGATAAAATAAATTAAAATCAAAAAATAATTTAAATAATAAATAAAAATTGAAAAAAATTTGAATTAAATAAATTTAAAAAAAATTAAATAAATAACCTAAAATGATTTAAGAAAAAATAGAATATATAATTAAAAATTATAAATTGAAATAACCAAAAAAATAATACAAAAAAATTAAACTATAAAAAATCAATAAAAAAAGCATAATTTAAAATAAAAAAAAATTGTTGGAATGAATAAAGCTGAAAAAACGAAAAATTAATCAGAAAACAAAACGCGATAAAAAATAAAAAATAAAAAGGAAATAAAGTAAAATAAAAAATAAAATTATAAAAAAATAAATAATATAAAAAAGTTAAAGTAAAATGAACTTAAATAATATAAAATATATAAAATAGAAAATAAAATAACATAAAAAAATTTAAAATTTGGAATATATAAATATAAAATAAAATGAAGAATTAAATTAAAATTTGGAAATATAATTTAAATAAACAAATCAAAAATAAATATATATATATATATAATGAAATCTATAATATATATATATATTTATAATTGAAAAATAAAATGAGATAAAATAAATGGAAAAATAATTGTAAATATAAATAAAATAATATAAAAAAAAATAAAATAAAATAAAAAGAATAAAATGAAATTAAAAATTAAATCAACTAAACTAAAATAAAATAAAGTAAAATAAAATAAAATAAAGTAAAATAAAATAAAAGAAAATAGGAATTAAAATAAATAAAAAAATGAAATGAAATAAAATAAAATAAAATAAAATAAAATAAAATAAAATAAAATAAAATAAAATAAAATAAAATAAAATAAAATAAAATAAAATTAAGCAAAATAAAATATAATAAAATAAAATGAAATGAAATAATATAAAATAAATATAATAAAATAAAATAATATAAAATAAAATAAAATAAAATGGCATAAAATGACATAAAACAACCTGAAGCAAACATTAAAATAATTAAATAAATAAAAAATAATTAAATTAAAAAGAAAAAGAAATGAAATGAAATAAGTCAAAAATATAAACTAAATTAAATAAAGAGAAAAATATATAAATTAATTATTTAATATATATAATAAAGTAATATATAATTATAAAGTAAATAGAATGAAATAAATTATAAAACCTTTTATAAAAAAATAAATTAATTAAACAAAAGCAAATTCATTATACGAAATAAAAAAGGGTACAAAATTTAAAGCAATATATTGATTAAATAAAATACATAAAATAAAAAATAGAAAAGAAATCAAATTAAATGGGATAAATAACCATTTATTTTTAATTTTCTTTTTTCAACATTAATTGAATATTATAAATCAAGTATTGTGCGTAAATTTGCTTTAGCCAAAAAGATAACCGCTACTTGACGTCAAAAAGCACTTTTTATAATTTTTCTTTTGCAAATTTCAGTAAGTTTTTTTTTCTCTTCTTAAAGAGTCTTTACTATTGGTAAATAAATAATTTACTTTGCTTTTCATGAAACACAATAAAAGACAAACGAAATGAAATAAATAAAAATGCCAAAAATTAGTATTTATGTATATGTATGTATTTATATATATATATATATCGTTTATAATTATTGTATATCGTTTTAGATTAAAGTATTTATTATTACATATGAACGTGGTGTATTCAACAAATTTTTATAAGTATTCAATATGTGTGTGAGTGTGTATTTCAAATATTCACTATACATAATATATTGGTATTAAATCGTATAAGTAAATATTATTAATGTTTTTTTTTTTAGTAATTAATTCTATAGTAATTTAGTACAATCATGTCTTTCTCGCTTATAAACACGCTAACTGTCTGTCTTCTTTCTATCTCGCTGTGGAATTAACGGTAACTGCAAAAGTGATGTAACAACGCTTGCCATAAGAATTTAGTGGATTTATTAAATTTTTCTCAAAGCAACAAAACTTAAACGCTATTTGCTAAATGGAACTAAAAGTATCTTCATAACTTAATACAAAAAAAGAAATATATATATTTCTTTTATGATAATTATTGTGCGATAAATGTTTTATTTCTGCGAAAAGTATTTAGTTTTGTTTATTTATGCAATTTAACGAGCATATGTAAGCAGTTTCAAAATTTTACAATATTTTTGTGGTGGATTTATTTATTTATGTACTTTTTACATTTTCTGATATGCGAAATTTATTTACTTAATTTTGATTTGAATTTTTGTTTTCTATTGATTTGCACAGTTGATATGATGCGTTATTATATGGTTTGTATTTGTAAATATGTGAGTTTTTTTAAGTTGTTTTTTGCAATTCATTCTTGGTTTTGCGTATAAAAATGACAGAAGCTGAATTTATTTTTAGATTGTTAATTTTTATATATATATATATATGTCCATACATGCATATGCTCATTTCACATATTTTCTTTTGTTTGCGCAAAATACATATAATTTGTGGTATCCTTTTCACTTCAGTTAAGTTGCAAATTTTTAAACAATTCTCGTTCATCTTTTACAGCTACATCACTTTTGTCCTCTCCTATCCTATTTATGTAGTTACTCGACTGCCTTATTGCTAATAATTAAAATTATTGCATACATATGTATGTATGTATGATACTTTTTCAAATTCATCTTATTCGAGTATTCGAAATCGTTCCCAAAATCCGCACAATTCATAAAGAAGTTTTCGAACTAACTTTTTATGCCAAAACCATTTGGCGTAGTTGGATGTACGTTGTTTGTATTTTTTTTTACAAAATTAATTTATTGATTTTCCGTTTTTTTGTTTATTATAAAATTCATTTTATGTTTTTTTTTAATATTAAATATTTCTACATAGTACATTAGTATGTATGTTTCACTTCAATTGCCTTTTCAGCACTTACTTACTTATATAAATTATTATTGTTTTTTTTTTTGAACTCCAACACAATTTCTACGTAATTTGTTGTTCACTAATACATTTTCTAAATGCTATAATGCTTTTCAGTTGCAAACATGATTAATGTATGGTGTATTTTGTATTTTGTATTTATATAAGCAGTGGTAATTTCATATTATTTTCTTTTTTTCATTATAAAAGTATGCTAAAACATACACATTATTGCTGTACATATATATGCTAGCAGTTATTCCATGCATATGTTTCAATTGTTCCTTTTTGCAAATTCTTTAATATTTTTTCGTCTTTTCCTTTCAAATGGGTCTCTTCACTTAAGAAAAAAGAGTTGCTCGCTACGCTCAGCTATAAATTGTACTGGTACAAAAGTTTTTCATTCTTACTTAGGATATATATATATATATATATAAATCTATATATATATATATCTTATATATATACGTGTATATGTATGTGCATGCCTATAAAAGTGTATGTGTGCACTACTAATACGTTTACGGTATTGCACGTATACCATCTAAGGTCGATCTTAATATTAAACTGCCTTCAACCCAGAAATTGGGTCGATCAATCATATTTTGCCATAGAGAGAGCTCCTTGCCAGTTGCGTCCATCCATTCGACGGGACGGCCGTAGCTTTTACCTGGAAAATAACGCAGTTAATTAAAATAATGTGTTAAAATTAAAATAGTAAATAGTGAAATTAACTAATAATTTTTTTTATCGAATTAAAATTTTTTAAATTTTATTTTCGTTTACTTATGTTTTGACTGTAAGGGGCACACCTAGTGTGAAATTTCAAAAAATCGATCTTTTCATATTTCGGTAGATTACACTTTAAAAAATAACATATTAGAATTTTAAATCGATATCTCAAATAGTTTTTGAGTTATAGCAAATTAAAGAGCGGCAGCTAGAAAGTCTCAGTAGATACGAGTGAAAACGATCAATTTATCTTTAAACGCGTTTTTCTCGAAACAACATTTTCCGAATTTCTGATGACTCAGAAACAAATGATCCGGTCACTTTTGAATTTTTTTTACATGTTCTATATATAGTTCTCCTTTGACCCAACGATTTTTGATCTGATCAAAACATCGAATTTTGGCAGGCCAAAAACGACCGAAATTTTGGGTAAAATTCGACTATTTTTTTTAAAACGTCGCCATATTGTCAATTTTTGATTTTTTTTATCGTAGGTCATTGTGCGGACAATATTATCTAGTAGAGAATTTTTTTTACATATGATCCATGGAGAATGCCGGAATCACTGCAGCAGTGAGGGACCTTTTTTTCGCCTCCAACGGCTCGACTATAACTTAAAAAGCATTTAATTTTTTTCTTCAAAAATTTCACTGTATATTCTTGAAACATGTATTTATAAATATATTCTTAATTTCAATTTCAATTTCAATTTCAATTTCAATTTCAATTTCAATTTCGATTTCAATTTCAATTTCAATTTCAATTTCAATTTCAATTTCAATTTCAATTTCAATTTCAATTTCAATTTCAATTTCAATTTCAATTTCAATTTCAATTTCAATTTCAATTTCAATTTCAATTTCAATTTCAATTTCAATTTCAATTTCAATTTCAATTTCAAATCAATTTCAATTAAAATTTTATTTTGAGATTTTAATTTAATTTTAATTTGAATTTGATTTATTTAATTGTCCATTAAATTATATAATTTAATATATTTAAATTTTTTTATTATCTTTTACTTTTCTTATATTATTATTCCCATTTTGATACTTTTCACTAATTTATATAAATTTATAATTTTTTATATTTGTTTTAATCTAGTTTATTTTAGTTTATTCCAATTAAATTTTATTTTAGGTTAATCTCTATTATATTTTAATTTATTTTGTTTACTCTAATATTTATTTTTGCTTTATTTTATTTTTTTTGTTTGGTTCTTTTTTATCTTTGCCGTATTTAATTTTTTATTTTATTCTAAATAATTTTACTTTGTTGATATCGCTTTATCTAATTTATTTATTTGACTCCATGCCATTTTATTCACTTTTTGTTTTATTTAATTTTTTTAATTTAATTTTATTTTATTCCATTTTACGTTTTCTTTCTTTTAAGGTTTTTTATGCAAATTTAAGCAAAAACTTGAGTAAATTAATTTAATTTTTTAATATATATATTTTTTTTAATTTTACTTTATTTTATTTTAATTTGGTCTTCTTTTTTTCTTCTTATTTTATTTTGATTTGGATTAAATTTTTTTTCTTTATTTAGTTTTTTTATTTTTATTTATATAACTTTACTTTTTATTTTACTTTTATTCATGTTTTTTTTGTACCGCAAAAATATACCCGAATTTAGTAGTTTAGTTTAGAAAGTCACAGCCCTTGGCCGGTTGAAAATTCGCGTCGTTCTGGTATTAATTTTGTGTTTTATTTAAGTTTATTTCATTTCATTTAGTTTTATATAATATCATTCTATTTTAATTTAATTTATTTATTTAATTTATATGGCATAAATAAAATTTAATTTATTTTATTAATTGATAAATAATTCGTAAATTTAGTTTAATTTATTTTCGTTTTTTTTTTTTGGTTTATATAATTTTATATAAATTATCTTTATCTCATTAAAATTTTTTTATTTAAATTTATTTTGTTTTATCATAAATTTTTACTTACCGGTTCCCATTGAAAATCGTACGCCACCGAGGAATTCATTACTCGCCAAACGATCGTGATCCCATACAGTTAATTCCAAAGCGCGTTCGGACAAATCGTCCAGCGATACGTCCTCGTAGATGAATGTATAGTTCCATGTGGGATGTAATGAACGTTTAACGACCGGTGTCTTTTGCTTTGAGCTACGCGTGCGATCAGGCAGCAGGTAACTGCAAATGGAAAGGGAAATTTAAATAAATTTTCAAATAAAATTAATTAAAATAATTTAAAACAGTCTAAGGTATTTCGTAATCTCTCGAAACTATTTATAATTTTTTCAAGCTTCAGTTTTTCTTCGGTTGTATTTTAAGTAATGCAGAATTCAAAACTACTAAAGTATTTTATTTCGAGGTTGTTCTCAAGGCGTACATGAATATTTAAAATTGGTGGAGCTTAACAACTGATGACCGATATCAATGCGATCTCGTTCGGCGTTCCTGTCCGTTGTTCCTTATTCAGGCTGGGGAAAAACCAGTATATGTACTATAAGTATAACATATAGACTTATCGGCCAGTTGGTCATCGTTAAACATGGCATTCGAAGAGCCAAGGGGTCCAAATATTCGGTGTGAGCATAAATTGCATAGGTGCGAGAGCTGCCGAACAATGAAATAGGTTGCCCACTTCCAGCTCCCATCCCGTCTGCCGGCTTAGGACACCGTTCTTGGATTACTTTTCCCTACCCCAGTTCTGGGTGCTGCTTTCGGCTCCCGCTTCCAGAACCCGTTTCCAGCATGCGTTCCCGGGCTTCTTTTCAGGCTCACGTTCTCGGACCCCGTTCCTCCGTAACTGATTTTTTCTACATCATAAATTTAAATTTAAATCTATTCGAAAGTTTCGGGCTTATATTAACTCTGCATATTTCCCTAACTCTCTTATAAGATAAAATCTCCTGCAGGCGTTACGCTACACATCCACTTACCTCTTACAGAAAGCATCGCATGTGCCATTCACTTTGATCGGACTTAAGTGTTTCGCCTCTTTAACGAGCACATGCAACTGGCCACCTTTGGACGAGCGATCGGTGCGTGATGCCACCGATTTAATGCTACCGAATTTACGCAAATTCGAACTTCCACTGCTGGTGGAGGCGCTACGCATAAAGCCCGGACGTACATTCTCCGGTGGTATATACTTTAGGCCAACAACAATATCACCGCGATAGGTGGCGATCTCGTCGAAGGGTTCACTCTGCAAAAGAGAAGTAGAATAAATGAGCACTTTTTCTTCTATACTAAAGTTTAGCAATACTTACACGCTCCTGCAACAAATACCATTGTGATTGTGGATTATCGAATACTTTGCCTTGTAAATTAACGCTTACTTCCCCGAGAAAATCATTACGGCCAAACATATCCGAATGCCAAACTGTGAGCCAAAGTGTACGCGACTCCAAACTTGAAATGGGCATATGGAAGCGTAAAATTTCATCGAAGATCGGATTGAGGGTGTGTTTCTTGACTTTGGTTTTACGTTTGCCAGCCTTCGATTTGTCGGGCAGCAGGTAGACCTAGGTGTGTGCGTTGGGAAAAAAGGGAATTTTTCACAGTCATTCACCTTCGACATTGTTTCACTTACCTTCACATAGGGATCACTACGATTGCGCTTGGCATCGACTGCGGCGAGATCCTTACAACGCACCACATGTATTTCCAGTGCTCCAAGCTTATAGTTATACTGTATACCGAATTCAACTTGACCTTTGACAACCACCGTGCCATAGCGTCCTTCACCGGCGCCGGAGTAAACACTGGCCATGGAGTCGGAGCGGAGCTGAGGAAGTTAAACAAAGTAAAAAAATTATATAAAATTATTGAATGAGAGTTTTTTTCTGTAATAAAGTTATGTATGCACATATCTATAAGGCAAAGGGTATAAAGTGGAGATATAAAATTGAAAACTAATCTAATTAACTTCAACAAAAAAAAAAAAATTTTAATATTTTTTAGCTATTTATTGGTCTTTATTTCAAAAGTTTATGTGAGTAGAATTTTTTCATATTATATTTAATCAAAAAATGTGCTTAATTTTAATAAAAATACACTTTTTTTAATTTAATAAAAATATTTTGTTAATTCACTTGCTGTTTCCACTTAAATGATTTTTTCCAAACAAAGCGTTTTGCAGCTGTTTTCCGCGTGTTTTTCAATTAAAGTCAAAGAAAAGTAGGCATTGAACGCTTTTACATAGTTCTTTGTTTCTTATTTACATACCTACATACATACATATACACATATCCCCACTCGCATATTCATGCTCGCATATATGTACATACGTGTACATATGTTTATGCAGGTACGTATGCTTACTATACATATGTACATATGTATGCAAATCTCATCTGCAGCTGCATCTTGTAATTTATAATTTTGTACTCATTTCCTCATTCGTGGCTACAATGTTTCATCGCTTCGTAAAACTTCATACGAACAACAACAACAAGAAACAGTAAAATTTTCTCTTAATCTCAACGACATTCTTTCTGAATTATATTGACTAATCGACTATGAGGGAAACATCAGCGAGGGATTTCCTTCGCTTAGACTAGTCATAGAACTCTGATGAAATTCTCCACTGATTTTTATTCGTTTCATACATATTTTAAAGAGTAAAGACAGCTAAACTCATTCAGTCACCAGTTTTCTACTTAGAGATCAAATATTTACTATAAATATTTATCAATATTATGAACAATCTTATGTATGAATATATTTAGGCCCGTTTTCACCATCACCGGTTAAGCACTTAATCATAACTTAATCGGAAGGTAGCATAAAATTCGTTTTCACAATGTCCGGTTAAGGCGCATCTGTCAATTAAGTTGCGGTTAACTTGACGCCAACATTGTGTAGCGATCAGCTCTTAACCAGAAGATAATTTGACAGCTGCAAATTAATTATGAAAAATATGGAATGCATTGCCTATCTGGATGCGCATTGGTTCAGAAGCGTATTTATAGGGAAACCGCACTGAAAAGTTTGTGAAGAGTGTGTTTTGAGTAAATTTTTATTATATATATATTGGATGAGTGCATAAGTTCGTGCCCGATTTCAAGTGCAAACTAAAATTGAAATTTTTTGAAGGAAGCGCCATCATGTTCGGCAATCCACTCCCAACGTTCAACCAATTTACGGATGCCTGATTCATAGAAATCGCGACAATACTTGTTGGCAGTGATCGTTTCTCCAGCTGGCAAGAGCTCAAAATAGATCACGCCCCGGATATCCCACCAAATGCACAGCTGTACCTTCATCGGATGCACTCCACCTTTCGACATCGGTTCCGCCCCTTCGTGTGCCTGTTTCCATGTTCTTTTGCGTTGAACATTGTTGTACAGGATCCATTTTTCATCACTAGTCACGAGCCGATCCAAAAAAGGTTCGTTTTTGATCCGTCGAAACAAAGAAATTGCTGTTGACATACGGTCCCTTTTTTTTTTTTACTCAACTGATGTGGCACCCATGTATCCAGCTTCAAAGTGTACCCAACCTTTTTTAAACGACGAAACGCAGTTGATTTGTTGACGTTCAATTCACTGGCAACCTTTTCCGTCGAGATACGTGAGTTATTCGCAACTAAAGTCCTTAGAACATCGTCATCAAGCTCAGAAGGCTCTCAAGAGCGAAATTTCGCTAACCGTTTCTTTACTGTGCGGAGTGCTGGAGCACGGATATCTTTAGTTGCAGCGCCTACTGTTTTTCCTTTGCGGAATTCGTATAACATAATATGACGCATATGATCTTTTTCGTTGTCCATCTTCCATGCGTCTTTTCACTAAGCAACTCAAATCAAAATGAAGTTATTTTATGCTTGATTTACAGTTCAGACTGTCACCTTTCCAACGATATATAATATGTATATATTTCTTTCACGAGCGCCACTCTCAAACGATTCGAACGGCATCCAGCGGAATCGGGCACGAACTTATGCACTCATCCAATATATACAATATATAATTGATAATTTATTCGATTTTTCAGAAATAAAGCAGCGGAAATTTTTCTCTCAACTTGGCGGAATAAAAGTGGCGACTGCCAGTTGGGTGGAAAAAATAGTGTCCATTGCTGTAGCGGATTCTCCATCATTCATTAGAATACCGAAAAAATCAGGCTGCCATCTTCAATACTATCATCCAGCACAATGATTAAAGTCTTGTTGAAGTAGAAGTTCAAGTGCATGAAGCAGCAGAAGCACTTGTTGATCCCGACGTAAGCATAGCTGAGGTGCAAACAAACGCTTTGTAAGATCTGGTCAGAGATTATGTTGCTGGGATGGGGTATTTGTAAAAAAAACCATAAATTCATTCATAACTATTACTGTTTTTTTCAGGCTAGAGCCAAATATATTAGATACATATATTCATTACATTTCATTCAAAATTATCAAAACCTTTTTTCCAATAAAACAAATATCAAATGAACTTCATTAAATTATAATTTTATTAACTTTTATTATGCAAAAAAAAAAGATTAAAAAGAAAAGAAACAGAAAACCAAATTGTGTGGAAAAATGTAAACAAATACCAGATTTAATGAAGTTTTTAACTATTCACAATGCAAATTTTTGTGTATTTAACTCATAATATTCACAACGATCAAACTAACCAAGTAAGTAACCAGAACATGGTGAAAACGAAAATGTCACAACAGCCTATCTGACGGTGAGTTATACTCCGGTTAAACGTTAAGTTAATCGGACATTGTGAAAATGGGCCTTAAACAAGCGATCTTTTTACATTGCTTAATATAGACGGAAAGACCGCTGAACCAATAAAATCGTTCACTTCTCTACCGAGGCATGACGGGAGTTTTGCTCGTCTAATAAACACGACCGAGCCGAGTGTTTAGCATTGTTTACTGACATTCGGAAAGTCATGGTTACCGTCCTGGCTTGACTAACATCGAAAATAATAGAAAAATATTTTTTCTAGTTGTGTAATGTCAAACTCTCCGAATGTATTTCTCACATGAAAATCAGAGTTCTTCATAAAATCCTTCGGTCGTTCAGATCCGGTTTAGAAGTAACTGTATGTCTCTTCATTTGTTAGAATAACATTAAAATGCCCTTCACAAACTGGACGAGGACCTCGGCTGAAGCCCGCTGCAGCGATTAAAAAGTATATAATAAACAAATAAACTAGAGTAATATATTAAGCTGAGCTTAAAAAAAAATAATATATGTATAATATATGTATAATTTTTGAATTTTGAGAAAAGCTCGAGTGAATCTAAATTTATTGCTAGGAAAATACAAATATAAATTCTATACTTTTGATTTGATTTGATTTTTTTATCGACGCAATGAAAGCAGATATTTTATCTGTATTTCAAATGATTTACAAAATATCGATTGTTCCGTGAGATATTAAATAAAAAGTCCCAAGTCTCCCATAATTGAAAAAATGAAAGTTTTTAAGCAAGAACAAACTAAAATAATATCTCAGTTTTAGTTGTATTATTTTAAATAATATTGAGTCAAAAAAAAGCCGTATTTTGTCTCTATTTTGAGTAATTTAAAGTTTTCTATTCAATTTAGTTTTTTTTACTTAATATAACTTTTTTATTTATTTTTTTTGTATTTCTTGAATCTTTCATCTTATTTTTTATTACTTTCTTAAATTCTATATAATTTAGTTTACTTTCTAAAATTTTATTATTCCATTCTTTTTCAATTGGTTTTATTGTATAACTTTATTGTATAACTTCTTAAAATAAAATTTAAATTAAATTTTTGTTTATTTTATCTTATTTTAATTAACTAATATTTTTTTTTGATTCAATATAATTTTGATTGCTTTTAATTAATTTTATTGTACATTATATTATATTATTTTATTTCATGCAATTTTACATTTAATAAATTTAATTTTTTTAATTTGATTTACCTTACATTAATAAATTATATTTTATTTTGCTTTAATTTATTTTCTATTAATTTTTGAAATAAAATTTGATTTAAATCTGTTTTATGTAAAATAATTTCATTTTTTTCTCATTTAATCTGTTCTTTTAATTATTTATTATTTTATTTCGTTATATTCTATTTTACTTTATTTGGTTTTATTTAATATTTTTATTTTTCTTTATTTTATTTTCTTTTAATTCGTTAAATAAATTTTTATTTAAATTTGTTTGATTTAAAATATAAATTTATTTTGTTTTTCTTTTAATCTATTTTAATTTAATTTATTTTTTCAATTATTTACTATTTTATTTTGCTACATTTTATTTTACTTTATTTGGTTTTATTTACATTTATTATTTTTCTTTAATTTGTTTAATTTTTTTTTTACTTTTTTCCATTTCAATTAATTTAATTTTTTTTTTTACTTTTTTCCATTTCAATTAATTTAATTTTTTATTTTTATATTTAAAACTTTTTTTCTTTTATTTATATATTTTAATTTTTTAATTTTTATTTTATTTTATATCGATATGTATAAATCAAGACGAAAAACCAAAAATTAGAGTAGGAGCTCGGATGAAATTCGCTTCAGCGGTTCCAAAGCGCCAAGTATATATATATTTTTTCACTTATTTTAATATATTTAGTTTTTCATTTTTTATTTTATTTTATTTTATTTTATTTTATTTTATTTTATTTTATTTTATTTTATTTTATTTTATTTTATTTTATTTTATTTTATTTTATTTTATTTCATATTAGTTTTTTAATTTCTTTTGCTTTATTTTTTTAAATAATATTTAGTTTATTTTATTTTATTTTTAGTTTAGTACATGTTATTTTAAATTGTTTAATTCTTTTGTTTTCTTTCAACTCACCCCCAATGAACTGAGGCTATCACGATTCTGATGCATCGCCACCAAACGATCGATGTCCTCATCCGATTGAGCTGGCCATGTTTCGCTGGTGCCACTGCCACGTGACTGAATGGGACTTGCGGTGGATTCATTGCGCTTACCAATAACTGGCGATTGAGTGGATTCCTCAGCGGCGGCTTTTGCTTCCTCTGCAAGTAGTGAACAAAACAAGACAAAACGATTCCATTATAAAAGCTGTAAATGTCAATGCATGGAAACATACTTAAATACTTTGTTAGTTGATAATAAGAAAAAAATTAAAAAAGTATTTAAAGTAAGTTTTAATTGCCTACAAAGTAGTCGGTGCGTAATACATACAAACATACATACTTATTCCTCTATTTATTAATTGTTAATAAGAGACTCTGCTGTTGCGCATTCATTTGAGCGTGCAAACATATGTACAAACCAATGTAACAACAACAGAAAAAATGTTGTGAATGCTCTAAGTGCGCTCACACTTCCAAAAGCTCATGCACACTCATACATATATTTCTATATGCTTGCGCTTCTACGGCATTGATTGTGCAAGAGCAGCAAAATATTTAAAGACAATCCGAAAAAAAACGTGTTTAACAGCCGGTTTTCCATTCCAAACATATCTACAGGTGTGCATGTGTACATTTGTATGTATGTATGTCATGTCGTCTATGTTATGAACACTTTTCGTTTCGTGCTTTCAGTTTGCACAAACTTGACTTATCTTCAACTAAATGTTGTTGTACAAATTGTTGTAATTTTGTACAACAACACTAACAGTAATAATAATAATAATAATAATAATAAATAGTAAGTAATGCATGTTTATTTTGAATTCCCCCCAATAGTTAAGTAATTAAAATTGCATGAATGTGACAAGAGACACGCTTTCGGATATTTTCGATTATGGCTCATGTCCGTCAGCGGTTGGTGACCATTTCCAATTATGAAAAGAAAGAGTTACAAGAAAAAAAAATTGTAAAAGCGCATACGAGGGATGCTTGAAGAGTTTTGCGACTTGACAATTTCGCGGGTGTGTTTTTTTTGTTACCGTTGAAAATTTTCATATAAAAAATTTAGGTAAGGAAAATAAAAATTCATTTGACCTTTTGAATAGAAATTTATGAAATTATTGAGAAAAAATTTAAGCCAATATTTTTCTTAATATAATATAATAGAATAAAATAAAATAACATGATATGATCCAAACAAAACGGGGTAAATAAAATAAAGTAAAATGAATAAATAAAATAGTTAAATAAATTAAAATGATATAAAATAAAAAATATACAATAAAATAATAAAATATAAAACAAAATAAATTAATATAAAATAAAATAAAATATAAAATAAATTAAAATAATATAATATAAAATAAAATAAAATAAAATAAAACAAAATAAAATAAGATAACATAAAATCAAATAAAATTAAATGAAATAAAAAATTTACAATAAAAAAATAAAATAAAATAAGTTACAATAAAATAATATGAAATAAAATAAAGTAAAACAAAATAAAAATTTATGAAATTAAAAAAAAAAATAAAATAAAATAAAATGAAATAAAATAAAATAAAATAAAATAAAATAAAATAAAATAAAATAAAATAAAATAAAATAAAATAAAATGGAATAAAATAAAAAGAAATAAAACAAAATACAATAAAATTAAATAAATTAAAATAAAATAATATGAAATGATCCAAACAACAAAGGGGAAACAAAATAAAGTAAAATCAAATACAATAAAATAAAAATATAAAATAAATATTATATTATTATATAAAACAAAATAAATTAGTATAAAATAAATAAACAAAATCATATAAAATAAAATGAAATAAAATAAAGAGAACTAAAATAAAATGCAATAAAATAATTTACAACAAAATAAAATGAAATAATAGAAAAAAGTAAAATAAAATAGAATAATACAAAATAAAATGGAATAAAATAAAAAGAAATAAAATATAATGCAATAAAATTAAATTAATAAAAGTAAAATATAATAAAATAATATGAAATAAAAATAATAATAAAAAAACAAAATAAAATGAACTAAAACAAAGTAAAATAAAATTAAATTAAATGAAAAAAGTACACAGTAAAATTTTTTTAGTTTCGTAAAAACCTTACATAAATTGTTAAAAGCGAATTTCCCTTTTTAAATGCATTAAAAAGTTTGTCATCCCAGATAAAAATAACGCATGGTTTTTAGAGGAGTAACTTTTTACTTTAATTTTGTTTTACTGGAACTGGTCAGCTGTGATGAAAAAGAATTCTCAGACCAACGTATTTGTTACTTAACGTTGGTGTTCCCCAGCTGTATTCTACTGAAATACTTATCTGCGAACCCGCACTTGAGAATAATTTTATTATTTTTGCTATTGCCGTCATCGACAGAGCAAACAGTATACATATAATAATAATAATATTTTAATATCATTGCGTTATTGGCTTGATAAGAACTATAAAGCATCATAGTTGAAACACCGTAAACGAATGTGTTTTACTTGCTTTCTGTTTTTTTTTATACATATTTACTCATATGTCTATGGCGTAGTTACAGGCCAAGGCAAGCTAATTTCATGATTACACTAGCAATAATTTTTTTAGTATTCTAATGCTATATGTTTTTATCGAACCGCATATTAGTTTTTATATACGGAATGGTGTAAAGAAAATAAAAATAAAAATTATATGTCTATGTTGTATAATTGGATTCGTGTCACACATCAACAATTTTATAATTTGTATGTATGTTCATAGGTAACACTAGTCTGTTAAAAAAAATTATTTGTTGTCTCGAAGTGACATTTTGTTTAACTATGGTAAAAAAATTTCGCTATAGACTTTTTTGTTGCTTCGTCAGGTAGTTGTTGTGTGCTAAATGTTGTGACTTTGGTCGTAACCTAACTTATCTTCCGCTCAGCGACCTTAACTAAACTTTGAGAATGCATCCAAATCTTCTGCTGTTACGAATTCCTGTCAACTCACAAATACAGCGGTTAGCGCTCATCCAGTATGCCATAGCGCTGCCAAACAATACAAGAAAGAAATGAAATGAGACAAATTTTGCGTTGACCAGTGTAAGTAATTACATTAACTAGCGCTAACTAATGAGAAATAATACTTGTAATTGTCTATTTTTTATAAAATATTTATTACGAGATTTCTTATGGATTATATCATATAATTTATTTTTGAATATGGAAAATTGAATTTTTTTAAATCTCAAATTTAATTTCATTTATTTGTTTTTATTTTATTGATTTATTTTTGTTTTTTAATTTCAAATTAACTTTTGATTTTATTTTTGTTATTTCTTTTTATTTTATTTTGTTTATTTTATTTTAGTTTATTTTATTTTATTTTATTTTATTTTATTTTATTTTATTTTATTTTATTTTATTTTATTTTTTTATTTAATTTTATTTTATTTTATTTATTTTATTTTATTTTGTTTTATAATTTTATTATCGAACTTATTTTTATTCATCTTAATTTCATTTATTTAATTTTAATTAACTTTACACGTATGTTCTTTTATTTTGTTATTTTCAGTTAAAATATTTTTTTATTATTTTTATTTGTATTTTCATTTCATTTTATTTTGTTTTATATTATTTTATTTTATTTCGTTAAATTTATTTTTTTTCGATTTTGAATCATTTCATTTCATTTTATTTTATTTCATTTCATTTCATTTCATTTCATTTTCGTTTCATTTCATTTCATTTTATTTCATTTCATTTTCATTTAATTTAATTTGATTTAATTTAATTTAATTTAATTTAATTTAATTAAAATTAACTTAATTTAATTTAATTTAATTTTATTTTATTTTATATTATTTTATTTTATTTTATGTTGTTTTGTTTTGTTTTATTTTATTTTATTTTATTTTAGATTATCTTATACTATTTTTGTTTAGTTTTTATTATTTTATTTTATTTGATTTTTTTTTTTTTTGTTTTATATTATTTTATATTCATTTTTAAAGAATTGTTTTTGGTAATTTAACATCGTTGAAGAGTCACGCTCTACAGCCATTGGAGCACTCAAAAAGATAAACTTCATAGCCATTTTGACATTTGATTGGTAGTCAAAAATTTACGACTTTAAATTTACGATTTGAAAACAGTCAAAATTCTGCCATTCATCTACCATGCGATTGCCTTCATGCAAGGAGGAGTGCGAAATTGTGTGCGTGATGAGAGGCGGCAAAACGCTTTATGGGCAAAGTTGAAGAAGTTTAATTTGGTAAATAAAAGCAAAAATTATTTAATCTAAAAGGATTCTAAAATTGTGTAAAATTATATCTTAAATTAATTTTCGGGTTTAATCACAAGCAAAGTAGGAAATTGGAATTATGGTTTTCGTACCACCAAACACACATGCATTGTATGTTACCTCCCACTCGTTTGTGCGACTCAGCTGTCGGCGCAAGTAATGGCGGTCTACGCGCCGCATAACTGCAAACGCTCGGCGTATTCAACTCGTCCTCCTCGAGCGTCTCAAGGAAACGATCTGAATTGGAGCGCAAGCTGTCATCCCATGTCCAAGCGCGTGGCTTCAACTTTAGCAAACCACCATTGCCGCTGCGGCGACGGTAAACGAAAGCAGGGGGTGGTGGTGGTGCCGGCGACGGCGATGACGACGACGCACTACCTGCGCCAACAACAGGCGCACTACCTGCGCCAACAACAGGCGCACTACCGAGCTTCAAAGATGTTTTATTTGCAAATGTTAGTTTAGTGTATTTTTTAGTTTCTGTTTGACTTTTTGCTAGCATACTTTGCTCTAAATGTGTGATCACAATAGTCGGCGCTGCATCGGCGCTCGCCATTGGCTGCGCATTTAAGTCCCTTTGTTGCATTTCGTAAATGTAGGCCGCAAATTTGCCATCTATATCGTCATCTTCTTCCGAGTCATATTGATAACTGCTTTTGTGTTTGACGCAGCAACACCACCAGCGCCAACGCTTTCCACCGCAAGCGCGCCCACGTCTAGAGTTTTTGCAGGAGCAAGAGCAACACCTACAGCGCTTTTGAGTTTTCGCCGATTCATTCCAATAGTCTTTGTAACGGTTATGCGGTTGATAGGCGCGCTTGCGACGCGTGCATGAACAGACACCGCAATGTAATAAGCGGCGCCACCAACGCTTT